TCCCTCTACCTACCTACTCTCTCTCCCTACCTACCTACTGTATTTCTCTCTCTCTCTATCCCTCTACCTACCTACTCTCTCTCCCTACCTACCTACTCTATTTCTCTCTCCCCCCCTCTACCTACCTACCTACCTACTCTCTCTCCCTACCTACCTACTGTATTTCTCTCTCTCTCTATCCCTCTACCTACCTACTCTCTCTCCCTACCTACCTACTCTATTTCTCTCTCCCCCCCTCTACCTACCTACCTACCTACTCTCTCTGCCTACTTACCTACTGTATTTCTCTCTCTCTCTATCCCTCTACCTACCTACTCTCTCTCCCTACCTACCTACTCTATTTCTCTCTCCCCCCCTCTACCTACCTACCTACCTACTCTCTCTGCCTACTTACCTACTGTAAGTCACATCTCTTTCTCTCCCTCTATCCCACTATCTACCTACCTGCCTTTTTTTAAATTTGCCTCTTCAAAACCTTGGTGCGTCTTATACTTTGAAAAATACGGTAGTTTTGTTCTGTGCTTGTTCAGCAGTATAGCTTGGGCTTACCTGATATGACCGATCAGCTCAATCAGCTTGTGGCTGAAGAAATATGCCGTCAATTCAGAGATGTGACTTAAAACAGAGCAAACTCCAAAGAGCGTGGTGGTCCCATTCAGATCTTCCAGGTGCCAATAAAGGAAGGTGAACACAAAGCCATATCCAAAACCCATAAACCATGCCACAAAAAGCACTGACCCATACTGGATACTACAGAGTAGCTTAATCAAGTCCCAAAAATTAAAAGTCTGGGACTGGCTTGTATCACTCTGAGTGTCATGGGAGGAATCTGTGGAGGAGTTTCTGTCCAAGTGGGACTCCTCTGGCTCTGTGCTTTGGGTTTCCTCTTGCTTGTAGTGGTTGTACCGGAACCTGAACTGGGTGGCCACAATCAAAGAGAGCGTCATCAAGACTCCAAAGACTATGAAAACAATCCTGTAGTTCTTGTAGTCTGGAGACTTACAGCCTTGGCCTTCAATGAGCACATCAATACGGGTAGAGTCAATCCCAATGCCCACCGACAGCATGGCCAGTCCCCAGCCCAGGGATCCCCACATTCGTTGTAGTCCATAACGGTCCCGATGTTTGCCAAGATACTGCAGAGTCACGGTGTCTACTATAGTGACTGAGGAGGCACTGAAAAATTCTCCCACAATCACAACAAGGAGGATGAGCAAGAAGATCGCTTCCACCTCCTCATGATCATATACAAGAGCAAAATGGGCAGGGGGGGCTGATTTTGTGGTGACTGTGGGTGATGCCGTTGTGTGGCTGGTATTTCCCAACAGACCCGCAGTCACAATACCTTTTGGAGTGCTGACAACAGTTGCGCCCTCTTCTCCTTTTAAAGCACGCTTCCTAGCTCCATTTTGAACAGTTGGAGAAAAGGTAGTTTTAGGATTTGTGGACAAAGCTGAGCTCAGAGTTGGCAAGTGGTAAGTCAGCAAATCTCTCTTCCCTCGACCCTTAGTTATCGTACTTCCCAGAGTGGGAATGACAGAAGAAATGGAGATATTTTGCGAGGATGCTGTGGTAAAGTGACTGGCATTGGTAGGGGGAACGGGGATAGGCTTCTTTAGCGTACACCTCAAGGTTGCTGGTTTAACAAATCCAATTCCCAAGTTAAACATCACCCAGCATAATAGGGAGAAGAGAAGGACAACTTTCCCCTTTTTAAAGCGATCTGCTACCACTCCCCAAAATGGAGCACTGCAAAATTCAATGAAGTATCTAATCCCTACTAGGAGTCCGCTCTGGCTGGGAGTCATGCCTAGCTGTTTGTAGTATATGGGAAGCAATGGGTACAAGGAACCATAAGCAGCATAAAAGAAAAAATAAAAGACTTTTGAGATCAAGAGATCATTATTCACTTTCACACAGTGTCTTTCAAGCCAATCAAGCTCTTCGTCTGGAATAGTGGTGGTTTCAGTTGAAGGAGTATCACTTTGGGTTTGGGGGTCTTGCTCCTTGGGAATCCCACTGAAGGGATCGGCAAGCACATATTTTCTCTTCTGCTCTTCTTCATCGTCAGTTAAGATGGCTACTTTATCATTAGTGGCCATGATTTCACTGTAAGCATGAGATATACATGTGATTCTCCAAACTTCAGTTCAAGGAGCCTGTAGACACAGAAAAATCGGCAGTTAATAGGACAGTACTTAATATTTGGAGGAAAGAATGCTGTCAATCCAAAGAATAAAACATTTAACTTCTCACTATGGCTACATCAGCAGTGGGAATCAACAATTTTTACTACCTGTGTTCTGTGAGTGTGGCTCACAGGGGAAGGATACTGCAAAATCTCCATTCTCTCCCCACTCTCAAAGTTTCTGCTGTCAGTTCTCCAGAACCTGTCAGAACTGGCTGGATACCACCTCTGGGCTACATATATAAAATCTGAATTAAACTGAGATCAATATCACACCTAGATCTTCATGATCTTATATGATATCTAGAAGTCTTCTTGGCCGAGCCAGTTGACTTCCAACTTAGCTGATCCTCCAGAGGAAATATTGTGAAGATATTATTGTAGAGTTTCCTTCAAAAAAGTGTAGTGTAGACCATTAGGAATTCCCTCCTTGCCTCACTGCTGGAATTTCTCCAGTTTGGTCTCCTTGAGTCTAGATTATTCTTCCCTTTTCTGTTGTTTCTGTTGACTATTTTTTCCACACTTCGACATATACTGGCTGGCACGCAGAAGCAAAAGCACCACCACTTGGAGCATTACTTTTTGCATTTCCCATTGGTCAGCTGAAAGGGGCACTAGTCTACACATAGGCAGCAGTATGAGAAAATATTTTGGGGGGGCAGGCAAACGCCAATGAGACTATGGAAAACAGAAAGCATGGGGTAATTGCAAAGATAAGCATTGAACATGAACTCATTCACTCAACTGCTTCTTGAAGCCAAATAGTAGCAGTAAATAATCAGCATCTTGGAATTGGCTACCATTGTCTTCTAATAAGAGACGCTTGCAATATATAAAAACATACAATCTCTTAATAAAATTTAGCTTAGCTTGACAAAACATCAATTCTATTTGTCTGCTATACCACCAGTACTTTATTCCTTCTTAATCAAAACAGGAAAAAAAATGCAGGCATAGGTTTAAAGGAGCAGAGAATCGGGCATGAAAATGGAGTGGAAATGGAAATCACCACAAAGCAAGTTATTTAAAAATGGTCAGGTACATTGGAAATAATCTGAATATCAAATCATCTGCTCATTTGATAGGAAGTGAGAAGCTGGCCCCCTGACGCAAACCAAAAACCTTTCATTTATTCTTATTTAAAACTTTTGGTCACTTTGTGAATGAATGGTGCTTTAGAAAAAAAGAACATCCCTTTTCTTGGCTCAGCAAAAGGATTTATTGTAAAGCACACAGACACACAGACACACACACACACACACACACACACACACACACACACTATATTATCACAAAACCAGTTCAAACAATTCCAAAAATATATGTATTATCCCATAAGGCTTTGTGGAAAAAGCAAGTTAATTCATATTCTTAAATGCCCACATAAGCTATTTCTCAATGAAACTGATCTTTGTTGTTCCTTAATGTTCCCCTGCTAATTCCTGACGTCAGATTTGTGGTGATGCTGCTGAAAAGAATTGTGCACAGACTGGTTAATTCATCAAACATAAATTATAAACTGATAATATAACTGAGACTATTTTAGCAGTTCTCATATAACCATTTGGAAGGATACAAATAATTATTTCAGCAGACATTTTACCTTGCAGCTATATAGCAGGATGGAGGATTCTCGATTTAGTGCTTGGGAGGGAGAATGCAGTTGAGGTTATCATTCTGAATTTACTAAGAGTGATAAATTATATGATATATTGCACTATGCTATGGTGAGTGAGGCACATGTAAATTTCTTTTTAGATTACTTATATTTTAGGCGCTAGAACATCTTCCTCACTCTGGTGCACTCTGCAATTTATCTTGGGCCACAGCATGTACAACTCTTAGATAACATGGTCATATCGACTAAAGAATTCTGGAGTCCTTTTTAAATAATTCATAAGACTGCAGTGATCAATCATCTGGGTCAAAATGTTGGGCTGATGTTTTTAAAGTGTTTGCCTTATTACCACCACAAATATCTCTCTATATATTTCAGCCAGAAACAATTTTAATACTTACACCAGTCACAAAAGTCAATTAACTATTGTTGCAATTAGTTATTTTTAAAATGTTAGGAATATTGCAATAAAGATGTCTGATTCATCAGAAAAATATTTTAAAGTGCTGCTACTTCCTACTTTTTGCAAACAAAGCAATAATGCAAAGTATGATGACTATTATTATTATGACCCACAAAAGGTTATGTAAAGATTAATTTATTCATCTGTAAAAGAACAGAGCTTATATCAGCTGCTACAGTACTTAGGCAACAAACTTCCTTGGCTTTTTGATCACAGAAAAATTTAAGTGGTTACCTAACTGGTCTATAGAAAACTAATCAATGGATCGTTTAAACTATAATTTAAGCTAAAAAATCTATTAGAAAACTAAGCTACGGTATTGTTTATTTTTCATGGGTAGTCATTATTTATAATGGGTATTCATTATCTCACATTTTTCCAGATTATTTTTATTATTTTTTCAGATCCTTTTTATTTATTATTTTTTCAGATCCTTTTTATTTTTTTATTTATCCATCCTAGATATTGTTGATAAGGGGCTAGCTTTCTACATATGCTGCAAGATGAAGGTGTAAAAGAAAGACACATTTTCAGATGCTTGTCTACAGAGATAAGGTTGACTCCAACTAATGATGGATGCTGCTCAGAGATAAAAGAAAATGATGGCATTTAGCAGAAAAGCATTTAGCATTTGGTGCTTGAACAGACCTCCAGCTTACACTTTAGTGCCATTATGGACCTCAGAGGAAAAATACTTGCTGCTAAATCATGTGATATGGGCTTGAAATTAACCCTATCACTTAGCTGAAGGGAAAGGAAAAGGCTGAAAGACATTCACCATTAGCTCTCCCATTAGGGAGAGATGGATTGCATCAAGAGAGCCATGTAAATCTCAGGAGGCAGCTCACACAGGAGCCTCCCCCTTTCCTAGAAATAATTCTATTTCAAATTGTGGGATGCAATTGTCTCAACCAGTAATAATGCATTTTATCCCCTTGGTGCCTCACTTTTCTAGTTTGTCATCACATGGCAGTACAGTTCATGATTTCTCCATGGGGAATGAAAGAGAGGAGCCAGGTGGCTGACACAACTATTGATTTCAAAGGATACTCCTTCGCTTACTGCGTTTCATCACTATTGCCAAATCCCTTCTATTTCAGTCACTGGAAAGTTAGCAATAGCAGTAGACTTATATACCGCTTCATAGGCCTTTCAGGCCTCTCTAAGCGGTTTACAGAGAGTCAGCATATTGCCCCCAACAATCTGGGTCCTCATTTTACCCACCTCGGAAGGATGGAAGGCTGAGTCAACCCTGAGCCGGTGAGATTTGAACCGCTGACCTGCTGATCTAGCAGTAGCCTGCAGTGCTGCATTTAACCACTGCGCCACCTTGGCTCATAAGTTCCCTAAAGGCATCGTTTCCATTTCCCTACTAAAACCATCTTAACTGGTTGGGAGCTTTAGTGAAAGCAGGAAGGGATCTTGCGTAATGGAAGTGAAAAATCAGTAGATAGTCCTTGACTTACAACAATTCACCTAGTGACTGTTCAAAGTTACAGCAGCACTGCAAAAAGTGACTTATGGCCGTTTTCCACACTTACGAACTTTGCCGCATCCCCCCATGATCATGTGACGAAAATTCAGATGCTTGGCAACTGGTTCATACTTATCACCGTTGCACATCCCGGGGTCATGTGATCACCTTTTGCAACCATCTGACATGCAAAGAAACAACAACAACAACAACAACAAAACCCAAGAAAAGAAATTCTGCAAATGTGGAATCTTCTTACATCAGCATAACTCCGTCCATGAAATTACCAAAAGTCCAGATCAACCTGAAGGAGGCTTTATGATTTCTCACTGAACAAATTAAAAGAAGAGAGCTAGATTAGTTTAAGGTATCTCTCATAAGCTTATGCCTTTTAATAAAATGTGTTGGTTTGAAAAACTCCAAGATTCCCTCTTTGGATTTTTATTATTTCTGTAGTTTTCGGAGATTTTCCTACATAATGAAGAAGTACCATTTGCCCTTTAGAACCTGTATTTATTTAGCTGCATTAATACAGGCTCCATAAATTTATCTGTGCATTGAAACTTTGGTTTAGTGCAAGTAAAGAATTCTGCACAGAGAAACTGAATAAGTACTTAAACTAGTATTAAAGCAGAGACTTTGTCTCACCTATTAATTGTAGCCACAGTGATAATTAAAATGTTGACAATTTTAATCGTTTTTTTCAGTTCTATTCCAAAAGATTGAATACTGGACTGTATTTTCTCAACAACAACAAAAGAAAAAAGAGGAACCTTTTTTCCTCAGTAAAGTTTTGGTGAGGATTAAGGATAAACAACTAAATGTACAGTGAAAAATATAAACATCTATACATGAAAGTCTCCAATTGACACTAATAAACTATTGAACAGAAAGATTAGATAAATGAAGGTTTGGGAGGGGGAGGGGTAAAATTTGGAGGGAAGATTGATAAAAATACACAAGATGGTTTGTTTGCTCATGAAGAAGAGGAAACATAACCTGGGGGACAGGTATGTTTCATAAAAGGCATGTGCTGAAACCCTTGAGTTGAGTACAATCATTCCTTTGACCAGGCTACAAAGCCCTTGCTTTTCAAAATATCTGGGACATTTACACATTGAAGCACGACAATCAGTAGGGAATTGTACCATAGACAAGTACCGCATTTGCCTAGGCCACCAATCAAAAGAGGGGGCCCAAAATTACGTTTTCAGAAAATTGATTCCCCCACGTTTCATGCATCCTTTTGGAAATCAGTGGGGATTTCCAGGAGCAATCTTTGGGGCCTTGGGTTAGCATGGTTTTTGATACACGTGACAATTCTCCCCACCCCCATATTGCAGTGTTATTATTTGAATTTTTAACAGCCTGATGACCAATAGAAAACTCACCTGTATATGAAATCAGACCATACCA